AACTCTGGCTCAAACAGCGCTTCACCTGAAAATGGAATATGCCAGCATAGTTCTTCTTGAAGCTCTGTCCCTTGGGTACCACGCGGTACAGCAGTTTGGGACACGTGGTAAGGGAGCCGATGGCAGCCAGCAGCCAGCAGTCCCCTGGAAAGACAGGCAGGGGCTTCCCCCTGAGCACTCTCACGTTTATGTAAGTCCCGGAATCCAAGACCTTGAAGAGCAGGAGTGGGTTCCGTGGTCCCCTCCCCAGCTGGCCTTCCTGCTAAGGAAGCAAGCAGGGAGAGGCAGGGATGAAGGAACAGGCTCCGGGTCGGGGTGGGGTGAGGAATGGGAGTGTAAGTTTCTCTACCATTTCTGTTAAGTGAAAGATTTACAAATTAGAACCAGACGCTTTTGCTTTGGGATTTGAGGAGGAGGACTTTTTGGACTTGGCCTTGCTCCTCACTCTGGAGCTGTTTTCTTTGGGAGAGAGCCAGTCATCTCTCATCCCTCAAACAAATCCAGTCACCTTCCCCCATGGCTCCCCACCTCCACCCCAAGACTACACTGGTGTCGCGACCAAGACGTCTCTCCCTGGTGTCACCCACGTAATACTGGAGACTCAAGGGGCTCAGTCTGTACCCCAGGGTCTCTGGGCTGGGCTTTGGGCACAGAGGCAGTATGCCTGGTCTGAGGTCATCTGTTGCCATCCCTCTCCTGGATATCTCAGACCCCATGGGCTGAGGCGGTGGGGCAGGCAGTGCCTCGTGTGAGTGCTTTGGGCCAGGCTGAGGCTGAGGGCACTGGGACAGCTCCTGTGATTACCAGTGACCTCTGGTTGCCTGAAGTACCCAGGAGGGAGGCAGAGGGTGTGAAAGGAGGGTTAAAGACACTGCAATCCACCACTGCCAAAAAGGAACCTAGAGAGAAGCCATTTTTTTCCTTCAATAGCACGGGCTGCTCCAGCCTAGTAAGCCTCAGGGGTTGCTGTGGGACTTGAGGTCTCCTTGGCCTCTGCCCTTCCCATACCCCACCACATTCTCTGCCACACAACCAAGACAGAATTCATCCACAGAGGAAGCCCACCCTGGCCTTTTCCCTAAAGCTGCAATGAGGGTTTTGGAGGAACCTGTGAAATAGGACCAGGCTTAAGGAGGAAGCAATTTCTTGGGACTGTCCCTGGGAGCCTCCGGGAGAACGGGCTGAGGGAGCCCAAAGCTTCTGTGCTTGATACCCCAGAC